GGGATCACATGACAGCTGTGCAGGGCGGGGCCAGCTGTCCAGCTGAACTGGGGGCTGTGGCAGCTCCCTGACAAGCTTCCATGTAGATCTGCTGTGGCCACAGCCCCTGCTGTGGGTCCGCACCACCAGGCCCAGGAAACACTTCCATCTGGCATCATTAATGCGGAGCCCTGCTGGGCGCCAGGCACTGTGCTGGGCTCCCAGGGGGCCAAGTACTTGACAGCCAGGACTGTGAGCCTGTGAGGCAGGCAGGGCCGCCGCAGGCTGGCTTCCTGGCCCGCCGAGGAAGAGAGATGGGAACAGAGAGAGACGTGGCTGTCGGCTTAGGAGAGGTTGCCAGGGATCAATAACCGTGCTTCAGTGTTTTCTGGTCCTGGCTTGTTGTAACCAATAGCCTCTCCTTCATCGTGAGTCTTGTCTGTGGGTTCCGCATGGCCATCGAAACCCAGTCTCAAGCCCTGCAGAGAAGCGGAATACCGTCGAAATGGGCCCCACCAGCGTGGGTGGACTGCTGCCGGACTTCCCACTGGGTCAACAAACCCCCAACCCATTGCCCATTGTCAAGTTGATCCCGACTCCCAGAGTCCCCAGGGGCACAGAGGAGAACTGCCCTGCAGGCTGTCTCCTCATGGAGACATTATGGAAGCAGGCCGCCAGGCATCTCTTCCTGGGCACTGCCAGCTGGGTTAAGCCTGTAGGTTGGCGCTCAAGTGCACACTCCGGGACCTTCCAGCTGGGCCACTTGGGGCTAAAAGCCACGAGAAAGAAGGCAGGGGCCCTTTCGGCATTTGTGGGGGGCACGTTTCAATCACATGGGAGAGGTGGGTGAGCAGCCGGGCCCTGGTGCAGAGGGCAGGCAGCAGCTTCCAACTCTCCCCGAAGCCTGTGTCCCCAAGGGGCAGCGTGCTCGTCAGAAGTGGCACGTGAGAGGCGGGAAGAGGGAAGTCGGCATCTGTTTGGGGTTTTCCCGTCACCCGTGGCAGGGCTGGCCCTCGAGCCAGTGTGGCTGGCGAGGGGAGGCCTATGCGAGGCGAGGCACGTGGCTTCCTCGGGGACTTCCAAGAATCAGGGCTGGCCCACCCTCCAGAGCGGGCAGAGGGTTGGGAGCCCCGGGTTGTTCCAGCAGCTTTCCCACTGGTACAGAGCCCAGAGGGGCGGGCGGCCTCGGTCGGAGGAAATGGCTTCCGAAGGAAGGATCTGGGCCT